CCCCCCCCCCCCCGCACCCTGGGTCTCTCCCTCTTTTCCGCCACTCACACCACCCCCCCCCTCATTTTGTAGTTCCTCTCGTCGTCGCCGGCCACCCTCCCGTCGGACTACACCCTCGATGCGCCCGCGGGCAACAAGGACATCCCGTCGTCGTACGACTGGCGGACGCACACGCCGCCTGTGGTCAACCCGGTCAAGAACCAGGGCCAGTGCGGTTCGTGCTGGGCATTCTCTGCGGTTTCGGCCATCGAGTCGGCCTGGGCCCTCGCCGGCAACCCGCTTGTCTCGCTCTCGGAGCAGAACATCATCGACTGCACCCTCAACAACGAGGCGTACTGCATCAAGTACCACGGCCAGAAGTCGTGCCCCGCCGGCTGCAACGGCGGCCTCCAGCCGGAGGCCTACCTCTACGTCATGGCCAACCATGGCATCGACACCGAGTCGTCGTACCCGTACCAGGCCGTTGACGGCACCTGCGAGTTCAAGTCGTCGTCGGTTGGCGCCACTGTCTCCAACTGGACCTTTGTCTCGACCTATGAGGCTCCCAACGAGGAGGCCGTCGCTGAGGCTCTCGTCGAGCACGGCCCGCTCGCCATCGCCGCTGACGCCTCCGAGTGGCAGCTGTACATGGGCGGCGTGTTTGACCTGCCGTGCGGCCATTCGCTCGACCACGGCATTGTCATCGTTGGCTACGGCTCGAAGAAGACCATCCTCGGCAAGGAGCACCCGATCTGGATCATCCGCAACTCGTGGGGTGCCTCGTGGGGTGAGAAGGGCTACATGTACCTCCAGCGTGGTGACAACAAGTGCGGCGTCGCCGACTACGTCACCCGCCCCATCATCCACTAAGCTCCTGCTCATCTGCCTCTGGCTTGCTGGTAAATTTTCTTTCATGCCCTTGCCTGGGTATCTCTCTGTCACAAGTAGCCAGCGGAAGGAAAAACGGCGCGGGCCAACTGCTGGCGCGACGGACTACCACTCGTCGTCGAGGCTTGCCGCAAACGTCGCCATTTGCAGCGCCGTGAGCGCCAGCGATGGGCCTGAGCAGTGATCCGACGTAGGGTCGCACCGCTCGATCGCCTGGTCCACATCATACACGTTGAGCACGCCGTTGACAATCGGAACGCCAATCTTGGCCTGCAGCGCCACCAGCCCGTCGACCACCGCCGACGAGACGTATTCAAAGTGCGCCGTTGCGCCCTTGATGAGAATGCCGACTGCAATGACCACGTCCGGCGCGTACTTGGCTGCCGCCGCCTCCACTCCATACAGCAGCTCATACGAGCCGGGCACCACCACCTGCTTGATCTGCGCCCCCACATCCACTCCGTACTGCTCGGCCATCACCCGCGCAATCTCGTCGACAAGCGCGGAAATGACCGGCGCGTGCCACGCCGCACGCACAACGAGGATTCGCGGCCGCGCAGCCACCACAGCCTCGCGCGTCAACTTGGGCAACGCCACCGCAGAGAGGAGCGACTTGCGGTAGCCGCCGATGCCCTCTTCCGCGCTAGGCGCTCCGCCAGTCGCTTCGTCGCTCGCGCTCGCGCACCCGTTCTCGCTTCCGGTAGCGTTGTCGTTGGCCGGTCCACTCCCCTTGCCGCTGTCAGCAACTGCTCCGGAGCCGTTGCCACTCCGAACTGCTGCCACGACTTTGGCAAGCTTGGCATCGTCATGACGCACAGCCTTGGCCGCAAGGTACTCGACGTTGCGCGGCGAGACGCCCGTGACCAGCGCCCGCGACTCGGCAAGGAGCCCGGCGTCGAGCAGCACCTTTTTCTTGGCGGGATTCGACGAGAGAAGGACAACCGAGTCGACGTTGAGGGCGGCGAGCAGGTTCGGGCACTCGTCAAATGACCGCGCGTCCTCGGCGTGGCCGACGGCCACGTTGGCCGCGTACGTGTCGAGGCCTGGCGTCTCGCGCATCGCACGGTACGCCTTGACCTTGTCAAACAGCCCGATGCCGCGCCCCTCGTGGCCAGCTGGCAGAATGATGACTCCGCGCCCGGCCGCCGACAGCACGTCAAGCGCCCGCTTCAGCTGCGCGCCGCAGTCGCAGTGCGCCGAGCCGAGCACATCGCCGGTAAAGCACTCCGAGTGGATGCGGACCAGCGTAGGTTTGCGCCCACGCGGCAGCGGCGCGCTTGGATCGTCGCCCTCCACCCCGCGGACAAGAACTCGCGTGCCGCTCTGATAGACCCGGAGGACCCACGTCCCGTGCGGCGCTGCAAGATCGAGGAAGCACGCCGAGAACTCGCTCTCGTTGCCGCCACCCTCCTCCCGCTCGGCCACCACTGGCGGCGAGTCGAGCGCAAACGGGAGCGAGTGCGCAAGCATGTACTCGCGAATGTGCGCTACTGTTGTAAAAGCGAGACCATGCTTGGCTGCCACCGCCGCACACTGCGGCCGCCGCGCCATCCCACCCTGCGGATCGGCCTTGTCCACAATCTCTGAGAGCAGCGCCACAGGCGCAAGCCCGGCCAGTTGCGCCAGCGTCACCCCGGCCTCGGTGTGTCCGAGCCGGACCCCAAGCCCGCCAGGCCGCGCAATGAGCGGAAAGATGTGGCCCGGACGCCGGAGCTCGCTCTTGTTCCCGCAAGCCACCAGTCGCGCCGTCCGCGCCCGCTCGCTTGCCGGAGCGCCGGTTGTTGCGTCCCACGCATCGACCGTGATGGTGAACGCCGTCCCATGCGGATCCGACGCCGATGACGGCGGCACCATCAACGGCAGCTCGAGCTCGGCCGCCCGCGAAGCAGACATCGGCGTGCACAAAATGCCAGTGGTGTGCTCCAGGAAAAGCACCACAGCCTCGGGTGTCGCTTTTTCCGCAGCCACAATGAGGTCGCCTTCGTTCTCGCGATCGGTGTCGTCCATGACCACCACCACCTCGCCGGCACGAAACCGCTCAATGACCTCGCCCACGGGCGTGAACGGCAGCTCGTCGTCATCCTCCGCAACAGCACTTGCCTCGAGCCCGGCACTGGTCGGCGCGTTGGGCTTGAAAACGCTCTCCCTCGCCCACTTCTCAAACACGTTCGACTCATCGAGCACCGCGGTCTCGGCCAGCTGCAACCGTGGCGCGTCGGCCATCGACCCACCAGCACCGACACTACCGCTAGTGCCCGCCCATGGCTTGCCGCCAGCCAGCACCGTGTTGCCGCGGTAGACGTGGATCTCGTCAAAGATGCCCGACGCCACAAACTGCGCATGGAGCGTCGCACCACCCTCGATCATGATTTGGAGCAGGCCGGCGCGACCAAGCCATGCGAGGACTGCGCCGAGATCGACGCCGACACCGTTTCCGCTCCGCGGGACAACCACCGCACGCACACCGTCGACCGAGTCCGAGACCAGGCCAGCTGCAACCGCTGCAGCCACCTTGTCGCTGGAAGCAGTAAAGACAACCGTCGGCGCGAGGCTCGTCTCAAAGACATGCAGCTCGCTGCCGGCCATCGCCGCATCAAGCACCCGTCCGCGGCCATCAAGCACTACACGCAACGGCTGCCGGGCGCTCGATGGATACAGCGGATTGAGGTGCCGCCCGAGAGCGGACGCCTTGGGGTAGCTCCGCACCGTCAGCCGCGGGTTGTCCGCTAGCACGGTGCTCGAGCCGACCACCACAGCCTGCGACGCGGCCCGGAGGCCGTGCGCATGGTGCCGCGCTGCCTCGGAAGTAATCCACTGCGACGAGCCGTCGGCGGCGGCAATGCATCCATCAATCGAGACGGCCGTCTTGAGCACCGCATACGGCCGCCCACTCCGCCGATGATGCAAGTACGCTGCAAGCGAAGCCTCGACTAGCTCCGCACCGACACCCGTCACCACCTCGATGCCAACGTCAAGCAGCACCTGCCGCCCTTGCCCATCCGTCTGGCCATCCGGATCAACCACCCCGATAACAACCCGCGCCACCCGCGCCGCTATCAGCAGCGCGTCGCACGGCGGCGTCCGTCCGTGGTTGTGGCACGGCTCAAGTGTGGTGTACACCGTGGCGCCGACAAGCTCGTTCGCTCGGCCTTCGCGCCGGGCACGCTCGATCGCATCCCGCTCAGCATGCGCAAGACCAGCAGCCTTGTGCACGCCCTCGGCAACCACCGTCACTCCATCGCTGGCAACAATGACGCATCCAACATGCGGGTTCGAAGCGGCAGTAAACTTGGCAGTCTCGCCAACGGCCACAGCTCGCGCCATAAAGAACGCGTCGCGTGCAGCAACATCGCTCGGAATCGCACCCAGTCGCGCCACGTCGGCGGCAGTCGCACCCGTATCCTCAGGCTGCCAGTGGCGCGAGACCGCATCGGCTTCGATGTTGAGCAGCGCGCCACGGCGGCGGGTCGTCTCGCCGAGCGTCGTCGCCTCGAGCGTCGCCGGAATGAGCGAGACTCGGAAAAAGTCTCGGCAGCCGCCAGGATCTCCTCAGCGGCGGGACAGGTGCCCGGAGCGACACCAGCAGCCGACGTTGGCGGCTTGGCGGCGACTTCGGCAACCGTAAGCGAGACACCGTCCAGAGTCACCGAGCCCTTGTACACGATCGACGATGCGGTGGGCAGCATGCGCGGAACCGCGAGCCACACATTGCGCGAGCCGTCGCCTGGCTCCTCCACAGCGGCCACAGCCACCATGCCATGAACGTGCCCCGAGACAACGTGCCCTCCAAGCTCGGCGCCATGACGCAGAGCACGCTCAATGTTGACGCCGACAACATCAGACGCCGCATCGGCCGTCGGCTTCCAGCCAGCAAGCGCACCAAAGGTGGTGATCGCCCGCGACTCGGCCATAACAAAGAAGGTGACGACGACGGGCGCCGGCCCGCAGCTCGCCGGGAGCTTGTCGGCCACCGAGCCCGGAAGCTCACTCGCCGGAGTCGCCAGAGGCAACGACGTCGCAGTAAGACAGACCCCGTTGACCGCAACCGAGTCGCCAAGCTGAATGCCGTCCCAGAACCCGCCATCGCCGTCCCCAACTGCGGGACACGGCGACGTGGCGGAAGCAGGCGGGCGCGAGCGGGCCGACAGGCCGTCAGCCGCCACCACAGAAAGGACCCATCCACCAGTTGTTCCCTGTGCCCACGACGGACCAGTTCCCGCAGACGCTTCCGTAAACCATCCGTAGCCCTTGGATCGGATAATGCCTGTAAACACCATAGCTGTGGCTCTGGCGAGGCGTGTCGCGTCTTGCCGCTCACACCCTCGCGCAACGCTCCACCGCCCAAATAGCCCAATGTCATCCATCCAGAACCCTGTGTTGCGTCAGCCGATTTGGCGAACACAGGTGCGTCAATGCCGCGCAAGCCGCCACAGCTACATGGCGTCATCCACCAGAGAATGACCCACTATTCACAAGTGCAGCACGAAGCGTTGTGAGGGGTGGCGGATCGCATACCAGCATGCCTGCATGCGTGATTGGCCACGCAAACGTGCCGCAGTGTGCTCGCATGTCGCCGCGTCCGTGCACGGGACCAAAGCTTCCCCAACCGTCTCAATCTTTAAACTTTGCATCACTGGTGTATCACACAGCATGTGTAGCAAGCATGGGCTGCTGCTTTCTTCGTACGCCACCCCAACTCTTCCTTTCTTGGCTTACCAGCTATTGTGAGCTTAACCATAGATAACGAAAGACGGGACGAAAAGACATTGATCTTAAATGGCCGACTGTTTTCTGGACACTTCTGCGGAGTTGAGCGCTGGGACTCATCCCATATGTTGGGGATCGCGGCAGTGTTGCAATAGGCTTACATGTGCTGCGAATTGCGCTCCGGAGTTGCAGCCCGTGAGGTCCAACGCTGTCGCAGCAAATCAATCGTGATGGCAGCTGTGGTGGGTTGTGGGACCAGCGCAAAACTCAGACGCGGCGATGGAAGAGCTGTGCACTACCGCAAGCAGTTCGACGACCGATCCTCCGCTGAAGCCGGTTGCCATCGAGGCGGCGCTGGTGGCGCGATGCCGGGCCGGGCGGACTGACGTCGCAGCCCATGCTACACGACACCATAACGTGCGTGTGTTCCATCGAGGACGTTTTACTCCATCTCCAGCGACTCGCTCTCTTCGGCGTATGTGGATACGTGGCGCGAAGGCTGTACGCTGGCTACAGACGCGTTTGATGTCGACGGGACGGGATGACTCGAGTGGCGGCGGGCGAGTCTGTGGCCACTACATCGCAGGCCGATGGCGCAGCTCGCTGTCATCATTAGCGTTCATCGGCCGCTGCGCGAGCGCTGCCAGCGCCTACGGCGGCATCGCTACCCGGCAATCACCCTTAAGCTCGAGACACGCCGGCTGGCGCGGTCATGGCACTCTCTCGAACCGGAACCAGCTCGCCATGCCTCCTCGATAATGCCGCTGCTCTAACTGCGGCAAGTAGCGGTGATCGCACCTGGGCATCCTCCAATGCTCAAAACTCGACCTTGTTGATGACCTGGTGTCCATCCACGAGATGCCGGTCCAGCAACGAATGAATGATGGCCATGTGGGAGAGGCAGGAGGCTTTTTTTTTGACCGATTGTGGCACTGAAACGTTTTTGGCCGGCCGAGTTGGTGCCACGACCGGTTTACGCTGTGGACATGGAACAGATTTGTCCAACTTGCCAGCAGGGATACAGATAGCAGAGGAAGAGGCAGCACTCGGCGCAAGGAAGGGTGTCCATGGTGGGGAGAGTGGCGGCTACAATAGCTGCTGTGGTAGTGGCCATGTGTGTCCTGACAGTCAGACCCGGCCTTGCCTATGACCGTCTCGTCCTCGGTGATCAACGGATGGCACAAGGTCTCACAAGCGGCAATTCACCGCTTTGCCTCACCACCACTGTCGTTGCTGGCGAGCTGCCGGTGACGGGCGGCGCCGAGCCTGGTGTGGCAGAGGTTCATGTGGAGCTGAGGGGCAATCATACTGCTGCAGCAGACATTCGTGTCACACTCGAAGCTCCCAATGGCCACGTGGTGACGCTGCTGGACGGCACGGGCTCCACCGCCGGTGCACGGCTCTCGCTCGCTCCCGCTCGCTTTGCGGACCACGCCTCGCTCGTCCTCGCCTCACCGCTCACAAGCACCTTGGGCGCGGATGCGGGCATTGTAGAGCTGAACGGTGTCTTTGCGCCGGCTGATGGCGACAATGCGCTCACAGCTGCCTTCTTTGGCCACTCGCCGCTCGGAGACTGGACTCTGTGCGTGATCGATGCCGGCAGCGAGGGCGGATCGGGCATCATCGATGCCTACCAGCTCGTCATCGATGTGCTCTCGTTTGCGGGGACTGATACCCAGACCGCGTTCTTCAATTGGGCAGAGGTGACTGGTGGCACAGTGGCATTATTTACCTTTACTGTCGATGGCGCCAATGTGGACCAGGTGACTGACGTCCGGATCTGGTACAACACTGACATGCGAAAGGCGTTTGACAATGCGGCGTCCATTATCACGCCATCGCGTAATCTTGTGCTCTTTCAGTATGGGCACTATCCGTCGTCGATGGTTGTGCAAGACTTGTACTTTGACGACACGGCGGCAACGGCGCTACCAACAAGCGGGGCATCACCGGTGCAGGGGGTGTTTCGGCCAGCAAGCCAGGACTGGGCTGGCCTCCGTGGATCATGCGGGGCCGGCGACTGGTCACTGCATATCACCGACTACACCACGGGAGGGAGTGGGCGGACATATCTCAACAACTTTGGCATCTCGATCAACGGAACGGTGGCTGTTTGTGGCGACGGATACAAGGGATGCTCGGAAGAGTGTGATGACGGCAACATGGTGGGCGGCGACGGGTGCTCGGCAACATGCACACTTGAGACCGGATATGTATGCACAGGACGACCGAACACATGTCGATATGCGCCGCGGCGGCGTCGACGGCCGAGATCGTGATGTGGAACGATGCGGTGGTTGTGGATCCGGCGTCGGTGTCGGGTCTGACGGCGACGCTGGCGCAAGTGTCGATCACGCCGGGCACGTTCAGCGGCAACGATGCTTCGGCGATGAATGCAGCACTGCTGACCCCGTCACCGCGGCCCAAGGTGTTCCTCTTCCCAGCTGTGGTGTCGCCCAACGCGGAGTTGGACGTGACGACAAGCGCAGTGCTGGATGTGATGGAGACGTACGTGCGCGAGGGCGGGGTGATGATTGCGGTGGGATCGTTTGCACCTGCGCGCAAGCATTTTCTCGAGTCGTGGTTTGGCTTGCCTGTGCACGACGAGGTGTTGCTCGCGCGGCATGTGACAGCGCACTTGCGGGCGGGCGACCCGCCGGTGTGGTTTGATGCTTCGCGTAAGAGCTCAAGTGAGGGCCTGCCCCTGAGCGGTGGCATGTCACCGTCGTGGATGGAGGTTGACACGCTGAATGCGTTTTGCTTCTCGGACGACACGGTACTCAAGACGCGGACGTCGTACGGCAACGCATCGTCGTGGGTGCAGCTGTACGGGGCGAATCCCAGCGACACGGGCGAGTCGCACGGGCTGGTGTGGCTGCGCAAGTACCACGAGGGTTGGGTTGTGTTCTATCACGAGGCGGCGGCGACGACGCTGCCGGCCAAGCCGACAGAGGTGCTTGCGGACTTGACGCGGCTGCATGGGTGGAGTGGGCCGCCCGGGAGCGCGTCGTGCGGCAACGGAGTTGTGGATCCGTGGGCGTGGGACGTGAGCAACTACGGCGGGTACAACGAGGAGTGTGATGATGGCAACGACGACGACGGCGACGGATGCACGTCCAACTGCGTGGCGGATCCGTGTGGCGAGTGCCCCCACACGGGCGGACGGTGCAAGTGGCCGACTGTTGTGGGTCTCGGGCTGGCGAGTGGCCCGGTGGTGAGTGTGGAGAATGCCGAAGTGAGTGTGGAGACGTACGTGGATGTCGATGTGGAGTTCCGCTGCGGAGTTGGCAGCGGCGGGTATGTTGAGGTGGAGTTTCCGGACGACGGGTTTGTGATTGCGAGTGACAGCGCGACGCCCAGCGGAATTGTGACGAGTGTGAGCATTGTTGGAGCGGGGCGGACTGTGCGGCTCGGGATCGGCGAAGGTATCGGGCCTGGGGCGCGTATTGTGTTCCGAGTGTTCAATGTGACGAATCCGTCGAGCAGCAAGACGACGAGTGGGTTTTGGGTGCGGTCGCTCCTGTCTGACGGAAGCACCGTTGTGAACAGTGGCGAGTCGAACGGAGTAGTGATCACGTCTGGAGCGGCACCAAGTCCGCCTCCGCCGCCGAGCCCACCTCCGCCGCCGAGCCCACCTCCGCCGCCGAGTCCACCTCCGCCGCCGAGTCCGCCTCCGCCGCCGAGTCCGCCTCCGCCGCCGAGCCCACCTCCGCCGCCGAGCCCACCTCCGCCGCCGAGTCCGCCTCCGCCGCCGAGCCCACCTCCGCCGCCGAGCCCACCTCCGCCGCCGAGTCCACCTCCGCCGCCGAGTCCACCTCCGCCGCCGAGTCCACCTCCGCCGCCGAGTCCACCTCCGCCGCCGAGTCCACCTCCGCCGCCGAGCCCACCTCCGCCGCCGAGCCACCTCCGCCGCCGAGTCCACCTCCGCCGCCGAGTCCGCCTCCGCCGCCGAGTCCCCTCCGCCGCCACCACCACCTCCGCCGCCGAGTCCGCCTCCGCCGCCATCACCACCTCCACCGCCTCCTCCACCATCACCACCTCCGCCCAAGGCCAGCCTCCGGCCGCATGCTAACCTCCGCCGCCAAGGCCGCCTTCACCTCCGCCCCGCCGCCGA